AGAGAGACAGGTGTGTCAGGACGTGTAGGAGTCAGAGAGAGAGACAGGTGTGTCAGCAGGTGCAGGAGTCAGAGAGAGAGACAGGTGTGTCAGGATGTGTAGGAGTCAGAAGAGTCAGACTCACAGCTGGTGATGTCGGGGGGGTTGTAGGAGTCAGTCAGGTACAGGTTGGTGGGCTTGGCCACTCTCAGATACACCACCTCCGCTGTGTTCTTCAGAGCAGCAACAGCATCCTCGTGCATCACATCCTCCAGACACACATTGTTCACCTGCACACACATACGGACAGACAAACACACAACCGCACAAACACATGGACATGCATGGAGACCACAGACAGAGAGTACAACACAGGCATACACCGAAAGACACACGCACAGACACAGAGAGACAGGCAAAATGAACACATTATTCACTAACCCCATGTTCTCCCCTAGACACAAGAGTCAGAACTGATCAGAACGTAATATGACTTTCAAAGAACGATCAGGACTGTTCCAGGGATGTTGGTCAAACAGAGACAGCCACATGCACAGATGTTTAATTTTAGGAATGCATATATTACAGGAAGAAGCTGCTTGCTGTTTAATGTAAGAACATTCCCTGTTTCTGGGGTGTGTGAGACTCAGATCAGCTGCAATTCCTGCACTGCCCAGCAGATGGGGTACTGTCACTGAGAGAGTCCATACTGGAGGCCATGAAACAGCGAGAGACAGAGATGGAGAGTGAGAATGAAGGAGAAGGGGAGGGACAGAGTTAAAAGGCCCATTGCGAGGGCTGGAACAGGAGAGTAGAGGCTACGTCTGAAAAATACTGATGTGTTCATGTTTGCACATCATGTACATCTTCAATGTGCAATGGAAAGCAAACAGAATGTCACGATATTAAGTTAAAGTGTGAAATGTAATGCAAAGTATGTTATGCTAATGTACTAGTAAGACCTTCAGAATATTCAGAATATTGTGTACAGTTTCATAATATTTACACAATTGTACATTATTCTGTATCAAACAGATATTTCTGATCCGGATTATGTCTAATCAATCACTAATCCTGATACCTTCTCAGGTGTCCCATGTCCTCTACTGTCGGGTGGAAGGAACTGAATCTCTT